TTTCAAATGATTATATATTTCAGTTATCTATTGAGTTATCAATTTCTAAAAAGTCAAGATAACAAAGAATATATAGCTGGTTTTTCCACACAAAATGAATCTTCAACAATAAATTATTATAAGATATATTTTAGCATAGTGACTAAGGCATTTGATTGCTAACCAGAAGGCTGGCAGTTCAAATCCACCAGCCACTCCTCGGAAGGAAGGTTGGACAATCCACTTCCGTTGTGATACTACCTCAGAAACACAAGGAGGGGTCGCTATGAATCAGGGCCAACTCAACAGCACATAACAATAACAACAACAACAATATTTTAAGAAGTTATTTTCAGCTGCTCATTTTAGTTCTTAGTGAACCGTATTTTAAAGATGCTAAACTGAATAGTGAGAAATTTTATATATAAAAATATGCAAAATTTATCTATATCTAAAGCAATGTTATTTCAATATCTATTCTACAGATATTTGTAGAGAAGTCAACCAGATTGAAAGAGAGGAGGAAAAGGAATTCTAAGTGAAGGGAACAGCATATACAAAGTGCAGGAGTCATAGAGAACACAGAATTTCAAAAACATTGAAGGTGTTTGGTAGAGCTGGGCCATTTAGAGTTTGAGGGTCTTTAAAACAACCAGCCCTGAACCAGTAAACCAGTAAAAGAGCCAGATCATGCCAAGTCTTGTAGTCCATGTTAAAGGTATTTGGACTTTTTCTTGAGGGAAATGGGAAACCATTGAAGGGCTTTAGTTTAAGCATGGGTAATAAAAGTGCATCTGGCAAGTGTTGGAGAATGCACTGGTGAAGGAAAAACAGGGCAAATTGAGAGGTCATTATGGTCTCCCAAAAGAAAGTCCTGGCAGAGCATACAGAGAACAGTGGATGGATCTCAGAGAAACTTAGAAGGCAAATCTGATGAAACTGGTTATTTAATCAATGTATGTGATGAAGGAAGTGTTAGTGGAGTGTGAGGGAGAGTGAGGAGTTGTGAATGACTCCCAGGAATAGCTGAAATATTGTGCCCTATCATGAGAACTCCCTTCAGAAGCATTAAGTGTGTATATTAGTCAAAGAGGGAGCTCTGGTAGCGTGGTGCCTAAGGCAATTGACTGCTAACCAGAAGGCAGGCTGCTCAAACCCACCAGCCACTCCTCAGAAGGAAGGTTGGGCAATCTACTTCCATAGTGATACTGCCTCGGGAACCCAAGGAGGGGTCGCTATGATTGGGTCTGACTGGACTGCACATAACAACAACAAAACAACATTAATCAAAGAGAAGCAGGCACTCACTTTGGGGACTTACTTTATTTACAAAATAACAATAAATTAGTGTTTGTTAATTTACATACTGCATCGAGTTGGTTCCAACTCATAGCTACCCCTCCTTGGGTTTCTGAGGCGGTATCACTACACAAGTAGATTGCGAACCTTTCTTCCGAGGAGTGGCTGGTGGGTTTGAACCGCCAGCCTTCTGGTTAGCAGTCAAATGCCTTAGGCACCATGCCACCAGAGCTCCCGATTTAGATACAGTGATCTTGTAATCATTATCATAAAATAAGTATATATAGTATGGTTTATAATTAATAACTGTGGTGTGGTACCTAAGGCCTTTGACTGCTAACCAGAAGGTTGGTGGTTCAAACCCACCAGCTGCTCTGTGGAAGGAAGCTGGGGGCAAGCTACTTCTATAAAGATGTACCACCTTGGAAGCTCAAAGGGGGTCACTATGAGTTGGAATGGACTTGATGGCAGTAATTTGTTTGCTTGTTTGTTTGGATCATTAACATAAGGAGCCCTGGTGGTGCAGTGGTTAAAGCATTTGGCTGTCAACCAAAAGGTCAGTGGTTGGAACCCACCAGCCACTCCATAAGAGAAAGATGAGTCAATCTACTTTCATAAAGATTTATAGCCTTGGAAACCCTGTAAGGCAGTTCTACACTGTCTTAGAGTGTCACTATGAATCAGAATTAGCTTGATGGCAGTGGGTAGGATCATTAATATAAGGAGAGCCCTGATGGCACAGTGAGTAAGAGTTTGTTGCTAACCAAAAGGTCAGAAGTTCAAACACACCAATGTGTCTGTGACAGTCTGCTTCTGTAAAGATTACATCCTTGGACATCTTATGGGGCAATTCTACTCTGTCTTATGTTGTTGTTGTTGTAATGTGCCATCGAGTCAGACCCGACTCATAGCAACCCCTCCTTGGGTTTCCGAGGCAGTATCACTACAGAAGTAGATTGTCCCATCTTCCTTCTGAGGAGTGGCTGGTGGGTTTGAACCGCCAGCCTTCTGGTTAGCAGTCAAGTGCCTTAGTCACTATAGGAGTCAAAATTGACTCTATGTCAGTGGATTAACATTACTTCACTTGATCCTATTATATTTTTCCATCTTATAAATTAGAAAATAAAATTACAGGTTAAATGAATTTCTCAAAGTCTCTTACCTAGAAACCAGTGTACAATACTAAAACTCTAGCATTCTAACATCAAGATCACTATGAGGTTGTTGTTATGTGCCGCCGAGTCAGATCCAAGTCATAGTGACTCCTCCTTGGGTTTCTGAGGCAGTATCACTAATCACAGAAGTTGATTGCTCAACCTTCCTTCCAAGGAGTGGCTGATGGGTTTGAACCACCAACCTTCTGGTTAGCAGTCAAGTGCCTTAGGTAACGCTACCAGAACTTCCAGGATCACTATGGCAAAGTGAAATATTTGATAGAATTATCTGCATCATCATCACTATCATTGACTGATCACACAAGTTCCCTTTGTGTTTGTGACTCTGATCAGCACTCTGCAATATTTTCTCCATACAAACACCTTACGAAGTCATATTATTATGTTCCTTTTACAAAGAAGAAACTGAAGTTCAGAGACACTCAGCACTCCCTAAGATCACATTGATATTAAATGGCAGATCTGAGATCTGATTTCCCAAGTTGCCCCAAACATCATTTATTAGGAATACTTGCCTAAACTCCTCAATAAACAGCATATAGGTGGGAGATAGGTTTACTGAACCCAATCTCTGGTTTTTAATTTGGATTTTTATTTCCCATTAATTGTAAACTTTCATGTAATCAATCATATTGACCATGGGTTAATTCCAATTGTTAAGGTGAATTAACTGAGCTTCCTTGGCTTTGGTCTGAAAAATTGGATTACACAAAGTTTCTCTGTATTTGCAAGATGTAAATGATTGTAAGATAATTATGCTAGTTAGGGTAAGGTAGGTTATTCTGTTACAACAAAAATCCTGAGATCTCAGCAGCTATAAAAAACAAAGATTTATCTCTCATTGATATTACATGTTCCTTACAGGTCAGCAGGTGGCCCTACTTGATGTTGTTCTGACTCAATGACTAGGTTCTGTCATCAGGAATATTGTTGGTCACAAAGGCAGGGGAGAGGAAGAACTGGAGAATCACATACCAATTTTTAAATTCCACATAGAAGTGGCACATGTCACTTCCACTCTTATTTTACTTGCCAAAAATCATCATATGAACATGCCCAACTTAAACATGGTGGAGCAACATAATTGTACCATGTGACTGAAAGGAAAACTCTTAGAAATATATCTATCCTAGACATTCATGACTTGAACTAGTGGCCTGCCGTAATGTCTGCTAATCTTGAGAGGGTGCCATTTTACATGTCCATCTTGGGTCCATCAGCTTCAGCAGCCAGCAGCTGCATGAGTTAGAAAAAGCCTCCATCTCCAGTGGGCCTGCAACAGGAGGCAGAGCTGAAGCCCAAGGTCAAGGATCCTTCACCCAGCCCCTAGAACTGGCACTTTGGACTCAGATTTCTAGCCTCCTAAACAGTAAGAGAATAAATCCTTGTTTGTTAAAGTCATACTTTGTGGTATGTCTATTAGAGAAGCACTAGAGAACTAAGACAGAATTACAGTTTCAGGGTGAAAGAGTTTCCAGGGTCAAATAAGTTTGTGAAACGTTAAAATTAAAGATATTTCCTAAGTCTGCCCTGTGCTCTTGCTATATTAATTTGCATTATTAATCTCCAAGAAGAGTGATATTACCATGGGATCCTTCCCCTCCACACACCAAAAAAAAAAAAAAAAAAAAAACCTATCTGCAAAGATGTATGTTCTGAAGGATCTTTATAAAACAGTATATTAACTCAGCCTTTTTAGAAATTATTTATGGAAAGAAAAGGAAGGAAGGAGGAAAGTGAAAAAGACTACAGCTGTGCAAATATACGGATAGTTTTGGAAGATCCTAATCAGGGAAATTCTCCTAAATTCTGAAAGAGAATTATCTTTTTTAGTCTGTGCCAATGATATGGGAAGAAGGCAGGTAACAATTATTGACTTTTGATTATTTATTTCATGCAGGACATAAATGATCTCATTAGCTCTATGAGGTGGTTGTTACTATCAGCACAGTTTTACACAGTAGGAAGCTTGGGGAGGTGAAATACTTGCTTTAGATTCTAGATCTAGGAAGTGAGAAATCAGAATTCAAACCCTAGATATGAGAACTTGTATTCTTACGTGTAATTTTCTATTGCCTTGACATAAGATGCTGCTTTCGATAGTCACAAAACCAGTAAGCCTAAGGTTTCACAATTCTAGAGATATGACTATTGAGAATCAAAGAATTAAAAATTTGTCCTGTGTTTCTCAGTCATGATGACAAAATTGAAATTGGAGCTCCTAGTTGGCTACCTCCAAAGCCCATGTGTTTTCCATGATGCTCTCCTGCCTGCCAAGACTGCATTCTCTTTATCATTTCAAGGATGCAACTAAAGGTAATTCATGGTGTTCACAAGTGACTGAATAACTAGCCATAATCATAAAAGTGCATTAGCAAAACTTCACAGTGTAACTAACATATGAGGTTAGCAAATATTGTTAAAATGAGGTTCTGGCCAATAAAATATCAGGAAAATTAGTATAAATTGGACAAAAGCATGAGAGTTACTTCAGAACTTGATTTGGTAATACTCACCATATCAGATCTTCATTTGATTCTTAGCAAAATGAAGGGCTCAATTTTCACTTTATTTCTATTCTCTGTCCTACTTGGCATCTCAGAAGTAAGGAGCGAGGAGTCGCTGAAGCTCTGTGGAAAAGACTTCATCAGAGCAATCATCTACATCTGTGGTGCCTCTAGGTGGCGGAGGCAGCTGGAGGGAAGTCTTCAAGTTCAGCAAGGTAACATGAAACCACCTGTGTCCTATTTCTTTTTTTTTTTTTTTAAGTAATATTTTATTGTGTTTTTGGTGAAAGTTTACATAGCAAATTATATTTCCATTTGACAATTTCCACACAATTGTTAGTTGCATTTCTCACAATGTGTCAACATTCTCCTTAATTGGGATCTGGTTGTTCCATTTCCAGTGCTCTAGTTTTCCTGCCCCTTTATCTAACTTGTCATTGCTTTAAAGTAAATGTTGACCTTTTGATCTCATATAGTTTTTTTAATGGTGCACTCCATTATTATTTTTAATTTTTCAGGCTTGTTTTAATAACTGTTTCCCTAAGTATTGTTAACCTGTCTGTATCAATTTAAGGGATTAATTAAGGAGGGGGAAAAAAAAAACAAACAACAACCTGAATTGGCTAGGAAAAGAAGTGAGCTTGCTATATTTCAAAAAATAAGGACCTTGTTTTTCAGTCTTCTTGACATTATTTGATTGCATAACTATTTGGATGAGTCCAGCATGTCTGTAGGTGCAGTGAGTGATCAAGGGGCTTGTTAGATTAGCAAGATTTTCACACTTGGATAATACAGACTATACTAAGATAGAACTCAAGTAGATGTTAAATAAGGATAGAAAATATGGAATCTAATATTTATTGTGCATTTATTAAGTGCTGTTTCACATGCAATATTCCATTTGGCCTGCTGATCAGAATACCGTGAAGTAAGATGATATTATCACCATTTACCATAGGACTCAAGTTCCTGGGTGGCACAAACCACTGAGTCCTGAACTGCTAACCAAAGGGTTAGTGGTTTGGGTCTATCCAGAGGTGCCTTGGAAGAAAGGCCTGGTGATTTACTTCCAAAAGTTCACAGTTGTTCTGGTTACCTAGTGCCGCTCAGACAGGAATATACCACAAATGGGATGACTTGAACAAACAGGAGTTTATTTACTTCCATTTCTGAAGGCTAGAAGTCCGAGTTCAAAGTGCCAGGCTCTAGGGGCTGGGTAAAAGCACCTTAACCTTGGCCTTCAGCTCTGCCTCCTACTCCTGGCCCACTGAAGCTGGATGCTTTTCTTCACTCAGCTGCTGGCTGCTGAGGCTGTTAAGCCTAAGGTTAACAAGTAAAAAGGCTCAGTCCCAATGTTACCAAACCATGGTGGCAGGCCATTAATTCAAGTCCACTGAAAGTCTCAAGGTTGGCAGAGCATGGCAGGCTGCTGAACAATGACTTGGCTACATGCAGGGTTCAAGCGTGCCATAAGCTAGAGACCGTTCCCCAAGGCTTCTCCTTGTATACAGGAAGCAGACCACATCCCCAAGGCAGCTACTCAGCTGCTCACAGTAGATTCCACCATGGAGTTGATTATCAGTCTCATCATGGGGAATACTACATCCAGCTTCCCAGCTACTCACCCAGGCCCAGCCAAGTGGACACACAAACTTAACTACCACAACAGCTATTGAAAGCCCTATCTACAGTGCTACTTTGAAACACATGAGGTTGCCATGAGTGGGAATCAGCTCAATAGCAACTAGTTTGATTTTCTGTTATGCCCATTAGACTGAGAAGGAAGCTGGTAAGCAGTGTGGTTGGGAGGCAAATCATGTGTCTGGATTCAAGAGTCAAGGTCTTTCGCTTATTCCATACTGCTTCTGAGGTGGGGAGAGGAGGTGGTGGGCTGTGGTTGGAAAAAAAAAAAAAAATGATAGCATTATAGAAATGGTGCTATTTGAAAGATGCCCTGAAAGATGTGTAGTATTTGAGGAGTTACGAGGAGTGAGGATGTAGTAGGTGGGAATTCTAGCAATAGGAATTGTCTGATCAGAATTTGAAGGTGGGACTGGATCTAATGCATTTCAGAAAGAGTAAGGGACTGATTTCATTACAGTCATATATTTTTTAATTCAAGTAACTTAGAAGTTAATTTGGAATTCTTTCTAATAATTCTGTATTGGGAGCTCTGGTAGCATAGTGCCTAAGGCACTTGACTGCTAACCAGAAGGCTGGTGGTTCAAACCCACCAACCACTCCTTGGAAGGAGGGGCAATCTACTTCTGTAGTGATACTGCCTTGGAAACCCAAGGAGGGGTCACTATGAGTCGGGTCCGACTCAACGGTATATAACAACAACAACAATTTTGTATTAGAGTGTGACGTAAAATTTATTTAAAATTCTATTTTAATAATGAAACAACTGTATTTGTTATGTTTTTAATAAAAAGTAAAACAGATGTTTTCATAATAAATATTGCAACCACAATTGTAAAAGTTTGAGTTTGGTTTAAAGTGACTTTAGTAAAGAAAAATATTTCATGGTTTGGTGGGTTAATGTCTAGAAAAATCACAAACTTACCCTGTGCTTTAAAAAAAAGAGAAAAAATTACCATTATCATTTTAAAATTGAGAGGTTTGTATTTATAATGTGGTGACAGAAAGAATAAGGTGCTTTTTTTTAATGTTAGGCAAATAAGTATAGCTTTTCAGGATTTACATCAATCTTTGCTAATAAAAATTAGCAAACCAAAATGCAGTAGGAAACAACATATTTGGAATAGCTCTGAAACACATGGTATAGTGGAATGGATGTACACCTGAGGCTCATCTTTCCTTTATACCATTGAAATCAGAATACTTCTTTTTTTTTTTTCTCATGGTGTATTCTTGTTTTATTGTAGTTTTTCAACATACACTTCATATACATGCTTGGGAAAGATACACATGCACTCTCTGATGGAGTTAACAAAGTGGTGTTACTCCCATTCACTTACTTTCAATACAATAGGGCTTTGTAATTACTTGAAGCAACACTTGATTTAGATGTGCCAAAGTTATTTATACATTTGTTTCAGTTAGAGATCACTGAGTGATTCAGTTTTTTTTTTAAATTTTTTTATTGTGATTTGGGTGAAGATTTACAGAGCAAATTCACTTTCCATACAGCAGTTCACATGTACTTTGTCTCATGTCATTGACCACAGTTTACCACAATGCAACAGCTCCCCTTCCACTTCCTCCCCATAGTTACCTCTTCCCAGTGTCCATCCCTCCATACACTCCTGCCCCCTGAGCTGTCTCCCTGTGCATAAGCAGCCCTTCTTTCTCTCATGATTGTTCTCTCCAAGGTGAATGCCCAACTCCTATGTCTGTCTTTTGTTTGGCTGGAAACCACAGGTGTGGGTTCAGTTCCAGGCCTGAAGGGCAGCTAGGGGCCATAGTCAGAACACTTCTTTAGCCTTTCCCAGTTTTTCAGAGAGTGTTTCATATACATTATTTTACTTGATCAATTACTGGTTTCCCAATAAGGATTCATTCACCTAATTTTTCTCAGTAATTACCAGTGTCCTAAGATACTGATAAGTGAGTCTGAACTAAATTAAAGGGAGAGAGGCTGATACATAGACTTTGGTAACAGCACTCAAATAAAGCCACAGTGTGGTCCACCTTCTATTGTCAGATATAAAACCAGAAAAACCAACACATTACAAGTTGATTCTGACTCATAGTGACCTTCTCGAACAGAGTAGAACTGCACCAAAGGGTTCCAAAGGGTGTAATTTTTACAGAAGCTGACTGTCACATCTGTCTCCTGCAGAGCAGCTGGTAGGTTTGAACTGCTGACCTTTGGTTACCAGCTGAGTGCTTAACCAATAAAGAACCAGGCCTAAGTTGTGTAAATCTCCATTTTCTTCCTTGTTGTTAGCTGCTGTGGAGGCAATTCCGACTCATGCCAACCCTAAGTGTGCCGAGTAGAATTGCTCCATGTGGTTTTCAAGGTGACGATGTTTTAGAAGCAGGTCACCAGGCCTTTCTTCCGAGGCACTTCTGGATGAGTTGTAAACACCAACCTTTTGGTTAGCAGTTGAATGCTTAACTGTTTGTGCCACTCAAGGAACTTTTTTTCCCCTTACTGATCAGCCTTACAGGGAATATATGCCGTTTTGGTTTGTGTGTGTGTGTGTGTTATCTAGCATCCCTTGGGAGTGGTTGGTCATTGAGCAGAGGTAGCCACTAAAACAGAATTCAAATCCTGACTTGGCTACTAACTAGCTGCATGACAGTCCTCTCTACAACCAAGTATCCTCGTCTGTGAAATGAGGAGAGAAGAAATAACTGAGCATTCCACTAAATATCTAATTTCTGTTCGACGAAATGAACACTTTAGAAAAATTATGTGCAGGATTCAATTTCTTTTGAGAAACCCAACTCCTTTCCTCAAGAGTAGAACTTGGTTGCTGCTTTTTCATTGGGCCTTCTAAAAAAAGTGGTTTTTTTTTTTTTTTTTTTCTTTCTCGTTTATATACAGCAGAGAGAGGAAATCACTTCCGGTTCCCGAATGCACACGAGGTTTCTGAGGAAATCACAATGCAAAACCTTCTGAAGCTGGACTCTGCAGTAGAGAATCTTCCTCAGGGTAGACAGCTGCCCATGGAAGGGATGTGGGTGTCCAGGAAGCATTCAATGAAGTCAAGAAGAGACCTCCCTCTTACCTGCTGCACTGCTGGCTGTAGCATGGCTGATTTGAGCTCTTTTTGTTAAGTCAAGACCAAATACCCAGTGGGTGGCCGAGCTTTAATCATGTTTAATCCCAGTGTTTCATTGCCTTGTACAACACTTATATGGTGTCATTAAAATGATGACTATTGAATAGGCAATAGTTCTTTTCTAAAAGTTGTAAATGAATGGTTAAAACCACTATTTTCTCCTTTTATCAAAATTCTAATGCTTTGAATTATAAATACTGGGATATATCCTATCATTAATCTAGATCTGTGCAAAATTGCAATAAAAATGTTATAAGCCAAGATCATTGTGATGTCTTCTATTTTCAAGTTGTATATCATTTTTAAAAAGTAAATGATAGAAAATGCTGATGATATAAAAACCTAAAAAAAAAAAAAGAAAAAAAAAACTACAAAAAGAAAATAAATATGAACTGGTAACTTCCCAGAAATAACTATCCATCTTAACTTTTGGGTTACTGTAAAATTGGGTTACAGTTAAATTATTATTACTAATAACTGAAACACTAATTAATCATCAATTGTAAGAATCTAAATAAAGTGATTGTCTTCAAGGCCTCAGAATGCTTGAGAAATATTTCCAAATGTTGTGCAAACATTCAACATTTTACTTGTCAATATATGGAGACATATATTTATCAGTGAGGTCTCATTAACCACAGAAACCCAGAAGGGCAATCCTCTTTATGTAATAAGCTTCTTTCTCCAGTCTAGGCCACCTTGGTTTTGCCTTTCTATTGCTGAGATAAAAGAAAATTCTATTCCTATTCTGGAGGTTGAGAAATCCAGATAGCCAAGTCATGAAATTGGATGGCTTCATTAATAAAAAGATAGAAGTAAGGATATTACAAAACAAGTTTTAATTTCTAACTCTACCAGCCCAGTTTGTTGTAACAATCATCATTAATTTCTGTTCACCTGAAGTGCTGCTCTCATTAGTACTGTTGTTGTTGTTGTTATGGGCCCTCGAGTCGGACCCGACTCATAGCGACCCCTCCTTGGGTTTCCTAGGCAGTATCACTATGGAAGTAGATTGCCCCATCTTCCTTCCAAGGAGTGGCTGGTGGGTTTGAACCACCAGCCTTCTGGTTAGCAGTCAAGTGCCTTAGGCACTATGCTACCAGAGCTCCTCTCATTAGTACTATATAGTCTGTATTGGAAGTCTATCTAATCTATAACGGGCATTTACACTGTGCCAAGGCATTGTCCATGGAGTTTAAACATTTTACTGCACACATTTGTTGCAGGAAGCCTATAAGGGTGGGGTAATACTTAACTGCCCTGTTGCAGAGGAGAAAACTGAGACTCCGTGGAATTAAGGAAATGTGTCTTGAGTCACACAGCTAAGTAGGTGGTGTTACTGTGTCCAAACTCAGGATATAGGACTTCACGTCAGTGTTCTTCCCCTGGAGGGGTGGCTGTGGCCTAGAAGGGCAGTGTGAAGAAGCTGATGGTGTTAATTGCAACTAGTGTGAAGTCTAGAAAGGATTCTGTTGTTAGTTGCTAGTGAGTTGACTTCAACTCACAGAAACCCCTGTGTTTGTTGTTGTTAGTAAGTGCGCTCAAGTCAGCCCCAACTCGTAGTGAACCTATGTACAACAGAATGAAACACTGCCCAGACCTGCACCATCTTCACAATCCTTGCTGTACTTCAGCCCATTGTTAAAGCTATTGTGTCAAGACACCTCATTGAGGGTCTTCCCCTTTTTGCTCATCCTCTACTTTACCAAGCATTGATATCCTTCTCCAGGGAATGGTCCCTTCTGACAACATGAGATGAAGTCTGGTCAGTTTCTCTTCTAAGGAGCAGTCTGGCCACACTTCTTCCAAGACAGATTTGTTCACTTTTTTGACAGTCTATGGTATTTTTAGTATTCTTCCCCAACATCACAATTCAAAGGCATCAATTCTTCTTTGGTCTTCCTTATTAGGAGCTCTGGTAGCATAGTGCCAAAGGCACTTGACTGCTAGCCAGAAGGCTGGTGGTTCAAACCCACCAGCCACTCCTCGGAAGGAAGATTGGGCAATCTACTTCTGTAGTGATACTGCCTTGGAAACCCAAGGAGGGGTCGCTATGAGTCGGGTCCGACTCAATGGCATATAACAACAACAACATTCATTGTCCATCTTTCACATGAATATGAGGTGATTGAAAATACCTTGGTTCAGGTCAGGCTCACCTTCGTCTTCAAAGTGCTCTTTAACACTTTAAAGAGTTCCTTGCAGCAGATTTGAACAATGCAATACATAATTTCATTTCTTGACTGCTTTTTCCATGGGTGCTGATTATGGATCCAAGTAGAATGAACTCCCTGGCAACTTCAGTCTTCTCCATGTACTGTGATGTGTTGCTTATTGGTCCATTTATGAGGATTTTTATTTTCCTTCTATTGAGGTGTAATACATACTGAAGATTGCAGTCTTTGATCTTCATAAGTAAGTGCTTCAAGTCCTCTTCACTTTCAGCAAGCAAAGTTGTATCATCTGCATGTTGCATGTTATTAATTAATCTTTCTCCAATTCTGATGCCAGGTTCTTCTTCATATAGTCAGCTTCTCGGATTATTTGCATATAGATTGAATAACTAGAATGAAAGGATACAACTCTGACACACATTTTTTTCAGATTTGAAACTATTCAATACCCCCCCCCCCTTTTTTTAAATTGTGATTTGGGTGAAGGTTTACAGAGCAAATATACTTTCCATACAGCGGTTCACATATACTTTGTCGCATGACATTGACCACAGTTTACCACAATGCAACAGCTCCCCTCCCACTTCCTCCCCATAGTTAC